GTACTTTATTTTCTTAAAATAATTAACTTTAAAAAAAAAAACAAAAAAAAACAAAGTTCAATATTTAATAAAAAAAAGATCGCGATGCTGAAATGGACTAAATATGTGCTTCCAATTCATTTCCGTCGGTTTTCATGTTTGTATTACCCAAAGTTTTCTTTAGGCTGCCAAGCTGCTAGGCTGTTAGGCTGCTAGGTTGCCTGACTGCTAGGCTGCCAGGCTGCTAGGCTGCTAACTTCACAAATTTCTAAGTGTCAAAAAAAAAAAAAAAAAATTCAATATTTAAAATAATAAAGATCGCGATACTGAAATAAGACGTGGAAAGGGCTAAATATGTGCTTCCGATTCATTTCCGACGGTTTTCATGTTTGTATTGTCCCTAGTTTTCTTTAGGCTGCAAGGCTGCCAGGCTGCCAGGCTACCAGGCTGCTAGGCAGTTAGTCTGCTTGGCTGCAAATTCAATATTTAAAAAAATAAAGATCGTGATACTGAAAAAAGACGTGGAATGGTCTAAGTTTGTGCTTCCGATTCATTTCCGATGGTTTTTCATGTTTGTATTATCCTTAGTTTTCTTTAGGGTGCTAGGGTGCTAGGTTGCTCGGCTGCCAGGCTGCTAGGCCGCTAACTTCACCAATTTCGAAGTGTCAAAATAAAAATAACAAAGTTAATTATTTAAAAAAAAGTACGCGATACTGAAATAAGACGTGGAATGGTCTAAGTATTTGCTACCGATTCCTTTCCGACACTTTTCATGTTTTTACTATCCTGCTAGGCTGCTAACTTCACAAATTTTGAAGCTTCATAATGAAAAAAATATGTTAAGATAAAGTTCAACATCGATCACGATATTGAAAAAGGCGTGGAACGATCTAAAGAAGTGCTACTAATGTATTTCCGACGATTTCATGTTTGTACTTTTCTTAGTTTTCTTTAGGCTGCCAGGCTGCTAGGCTGTTAGGCTGCCACCTTCAGGCTGCTAGGCTGCCAACTTCAGGCTGCTAGGCTATTAGTGTCCAACTTTATTTGTCATCTACTTCAAACGTTTGTGTGTTAATTTTCTTAGAAGAACAAAAGTCGATACAAATTCCGTTCATAAACGTCTTCTATTTGTCATAGTGCTTCATAGAACCGCGTTTGTAAAAATAGTCATTTGCATAGATTTGCACATGCGCTTTCGTGGGCCGCTTTTGAAAATTAATTAACGACAACACGACAAAGCGCCAAACGGCGCGTTGTCGCGCTGTCGTCCTGTCTCTAGCACGGCACGCCAAACGGCGCGTTGTCGTGCGGCGTGTTGTCGCGATGTCACATTGTCGATCGGTTCAAATTGAAGGATTGGCTTGTAAGCCAAAAGACAGGGCGACATCGCGCCGTTTGGCATTTTGTCGTTTTGTCGCTAGCGCCAACTAGACGCACAAAAGCGTACCAAATCAGCCATCATAGCAACCTATATTAATTTTGTATTTATGGATATACATGCAGTTCAGATTTTAATCCATGTCTTGGCGAAAAAGATACTGCACGTGTTAAAGTAAAAACCAAGACAAAATGTCAATTAATATATTTCTATTACTAATCAGAGCTGCATCAGTACTAAAGGTGTAGTACTTAAGTACCAGTACCAGTACTTGGCAAATTATGCAGTACCATTACCAGTACCAGTACTAGATTTTAGCTCGATACTGCAGTACCAGTACTTTTTTTGGTGAAGTAATTAAGTATCAGTACCATTACTTTTATATATTCATCAAAGTTTGAATAAATACAGTGTCAAACAAATAATTGCAAATATTATTCAGCAAAGAAGTAAAGTCATAATTTACTTTTAAATTAAAGTTAACATAACATTTTTACAACTTAATAGTGTTAACATACTTTTTACAAACAATATTTACAACATATATTCATGTCATATCTTATTGTTTATTAACCAACCAGTCAACTGTAATACAATGCAATCATCTTTCATTTAAAACACAACAGTCTTTTGTTGCCTTTCACACCTTCACACCTCTATTCAATTTATACCAAAGTAATTAACAACTTTTTATGGTGCTAACAATATCACTTGAAATAGGATTAAAAATATTTTCAATTTCGTCGTGTATGGCTTTCTTCTGAGATTCTGTTTTTCTATTTGGTATTTAAAGAATGAATGTTTGAGATGCAACATGATTAACAGGAGATGGTTGTTTTATGCAAAGTATGACTGTCCAAAACATGGCGGACCAAAAGACGGTCATTTCCTCTACACTGGAAATATATTTCGTGATAACTATGCTGAGCAACATAATGCAAACTGATGAAGAAATGTGTTTGCTCGAGCAATTGCTCAGTGGATATATTGCGGATCTAGTAGTAATCACCCAATTATATCAATATATAGACCTACTGGTATGAAAGCGTACACCGCCTCCGTGGTTGAGGGGTTAGAGTCGATGACTTCTAATCCATTTACCTCTCTGGCGTGGGTTCAATCCCCGGGAGATGCTTTGGTAGTTTAGCACTAAAGAAGGTAGTCTAGTACTGGTGTAACTCTCCAGGAACGATGGTTAGGAAACTGAAATACTGTTGGGAAAAGGCGTAAAATGAAACAAACAAACAAACAAACAAACAAACTGAAAGCGTGTTTTGTTTGTTTGTTTGACTTGGTTTACGTCACACCGACACATATAGCGACGTTCCAGCTTTACTGGTGCAGGAAGACCTCAGGGTCCCTTCCGTGCATTTTTTCAGGCACGAATGGGCACCTGAGTAGAAACACAGACGTTCCATAAGCTAGCTGGATAGCTTTCTCATATGAAATAATCCAAAGTCCCTGTCGGGTTTCGAACCCACAGCGGTGAGGTGCAAGTGGTTTGAAGTCAATGACCTTAACCACTCGGCCACGGACGCCGCATACATAATGCCTCGCCTTTTGCGAAAATCGACTTCAAAGTTTTAACAGGCTATATCTTCACACTTACTCAATCAATTTTAATATAAAATATATCTTAGTGTGCAGAATTATTTTAATTTTTACACTTTGAATTACAAAAAAAGTTCCTGTAGATTGTTTTTCTTAAAATCAAAATAAATAAAAATGAAAAATCAATAAGCAATATATTTTATTGAAAAAAATACAAGAACCAGAATGCTGTAATAAGTTACAGCAATTTGATCCTAAAATATAATTACAATTAGGAATTACAACAATGTGAAATAATAACTATTTTACTGTTTTATACTGAAATTATATTAAATTTAGACGTAACTAGAAATTGGGTGCTTTAACGAATAGTCTGCATCCACATTAATTTAGGCACCACAGAGCACGGAATGTGATCAGGATCAAAACAGTACATTAAGTCTTAAAATCAAGACAATGCGGTGAAGTGTAAATAGCCACGAACAGGCATTAACTTATCACACATGATTTCTTGACAAATGTAAAAAGACTAAATGTCAGAGTTTATTTGTCACGAAGAAATTTCGACTTGCCCGATGATAAAACCAGCGACATTTAATCTCTTAAGAGCTCTACTGATAAAATCTGTCTCACTTTTTTAAGAAAATGTATAGAAAGCTTTTTGGCAGTACTGGACACTAATTTGTTGTAGGTAACGTAATACACCTTATGCGTTGTCTTCATCATCATATCATTGAAGCACTTTACTTATTAACTAATTAATACCAAATTATATATTTCTATCAATCAAACAGGTGTTATTCGTAAAGCCGGCTCCGGATGCTATGCTGGATTCATGTCCAGCTTTATCCAATACCTCCCGACACAAAACCTATGTTCTATGATGCATGGGGCCCTGCAAATTATCATACATGTAAAATCGGAATAAATAACAACAAATGCTGTGTCAATGGGTGTGTATTATAATGGCATTAAACCGAATACATGTAAACATCTTGAAATAATCTAATGCAAAAATAAATTATTGATTATGTTACAGAATGTGTTTCTTACTGTTTGGTTAAGTGTTGTATAGTAAACAATAACTAAACAAAACACATGTTTTCTGTTACAGATGATTCAAAGGATGCGAAGGAAAATTTTCTCATAATCTATCTTATATAAATAATATATTTTAATCAAAGCCAAACGTGTTTTTATATTACTGTATTTACAGCTTTTGGTCTCGTCTCCAGAAGATACTAGAAAATCTACCTCTGTATAAATATTTCAATACATCTCTTCCTGTAATCATATACTATTAGTTAAAAGGAATCAAAAAATTGAATCATTAACATGTATATTTTTTTGCTTCGAACACAGTTCGATTATCTGCTATCGAGATACACCTTCTTTAAATATACTACGGAATTTATTCATTCGGGATATTTATAATACGGCGTAACGGTGTGGATACCGGGGATCGTATTAATCTTATGGGGTAGCAAATAAATTGCATTGGATTAAATATTTGTTGTTGTTTGTGGCAATGAAAAGTTTGTAAAAATATTTAATTTATTGATTATTACTATTTATTTCCACAACTTACGACAAGTGTCAAAATCCCAGCAGAATAATCCATTTTCTTGTTTTTGTTGTTGATACCATATCTCATAGCAGTGGTTTAGCTTTATCATTTAATTTTGAGTATTTTTACCAATCTGTCACCTCATATTTTTGTCTTGCATGTTCCCTTTATGTTTCAGTGACCATTGGTTTCTGAACTATTTTATTGTTTACCTAACTAATAAAAATAGTAAAGAATGGCAACAACATGTTCTACGAGTACGATTTCTTAAAATACAAGACTAATTGGTACCTTTAATGCATACAAAAAAGAATTGTGTTACCAAAACGAATAACATTCAATTACAATGACCATGTCAGCAGACCTAAAAAATAAAATACGATAACTCATGAAAAAGAATGAAATTAAACAATTCACTATATGCAAAAATTTTAAACATTTATAACATGGAAATTTTGTCTGCTTTGATATACAATAGTAGAATTTTATATGTACAAAGGACACATACATACATACATGCATTCATACAGACTACGTACAGACAGACAGTCGGCCGGACGGAGGACGGACAGACATACATCAAATCAAAGTATCATACATTTTATGTAAGAAACGTAACAACGTTAAAATAATTGTAACATACAAAATTCACTACGACTGAATATTGATTATGAGTAAAAAATAATTTAAAATCACACTGACATTAGTATTCCTTTAAAAAGTAAACATGTTTTCAACTGAAATTGGAATATTTAATACATTGAATGTATAATCGCTATTACAAGCTTCACAAAGATTAAAACACGCAATATTTACATGTACATGGGAAGGATTTTTTATTGTTTATATGTGTGCATGGATTATAATCATATATTTAACATAGTAAAGACTTAGATGTAAAAACTGTTTGCGAACTAAAATGTTTATGGTCACTCCTGAGTAGCTGACAAAATAGTTTTTTTTTTAAAAAAACGTGTGCGAAAGTGTAATAAACTAAATATGTGTGTAATTTCTGCTGCTGAAACTGTATTTACTATGTTCCTTGAGCAACTCCTTTACACAAAATAGCTCCCCCTTCTTCCAACAACAATACAGGCCAAACAATGAAGTCTATTTTCTTTCCAGCTTTTGTATATTGTTTATATTTGTTGGTATCAAATTTGGATCCTGGCTTGGGGCTCCTGTCAATGACAACAGGTGGAGTTTGAACGTGCATTAGCCAACAGAGCTCTATACAACGTGTCGTATAACTCCGCAACTGTGCCGGAACAAACCAGTCTTTCTGTGTTGATTCTATTTGCTATGAAAATATAAAGTAAAATTATACATTTAATTTGAATTTATACTTTTAATAAATTTGTCATGTATTTTATCGTAAATTTAATTTGTATCTATATTTTTTATTAATATTTTAATGTGTTGAAGAACATTTGCATTCGTAAAGTATTGTATTGTATTGTGGCAGAACAAAATCTTTATAAAAATAAAACTAAATATCAACAAGGCAATGCAACGTTCACAGAACGCATCCGCCGACATAATTCAGTCACAGGCTATTTTTCCAACATGTTTACATGCATTTATTGACCGTATTATACAAATCGTGATAATCTTATAATGTGACATAACATTTGCTTTAAAACACATACCGATATCACATCAACAACGGATATATCTGCAGTCTGCTTGCGAAGTTCTGATAAAGCCTTTGACTGAACCGCTGAGAAGGAGACAGGGTTTTCCGTTTTTCCCTTTTTCTGGAAAAGAGATATCCAAATTCGTATGTAACTAATATGTAATTAGGTTATAACGTTGAAAATCAAATATATTCTCTAAATATAACTATCATATACAAAATGCATTGCATAACAAACGCATACAGGCTTTAAAGTATTGACTTATAAATGTTTGTTCGTTAAAGAAACGTACTTTGAATATTTGATCATTTTTTTGTTAAATATGTCATAACGTGACAATAAAACATATTTTATATCTAAATGTAATATCTAATTATTGTTTATATGAATACATTTATTCGTAAAAACAACGAAAAGTTAAACAAGGACATCGATGGAGGTTACCAAAAAGAGCACATGAGAGATGGAAGGATATGCAAGTAAGAAAAGTGTAGAGTGGATGAGAAGCTGTTAGATCATGTCGTCTGGTTCTTCCAGAATGTGTAGGCGAGGCAAAAGTATTCCAACATTCAGACATAAGATCGGTTTAATGACGCTTAATGTAATTTTAAAATTAGAGTAGAGAAATTATCATAGATAAATGCCTAATGGAATGAAAAGTGATGTTTTGCTCTTAACTGGTAATATGTTATAAATATAATATTTCAAACAATGCGTTAACAAATTCATTATAGGAGCGTTCTTTACAGGCACTGAACAAATACAGAAAATAAGAATCCCGAAAGAAAGTCCAAAATGGTCAAATTGAAAATGTTGTAGGCTCGGTTTGATTGAGCCTGTTCATGCATGGACGGTACTGTCAAGTGAAAACTACAAAGAAAATTATCGGATAGACAGAGAGACAAACACAGATATCCCTACTGAGGATCATAGTGCACGTTATGTTTTAGCGTAAGAGAGCCTTATAAACAAAACTAATAATTTCAAAACAAAGAAACCATTGATTTAAATGTAGAATAACCTCTTTTGCCCCGGCCCTCAAGTTAAATTTAAATACCCAACTGCTTTTTATATTGTGTGAAAATTATTTATCAAGGGAAACTTGTATAGATACCAATACCGGAACAAGAATTATTTATTACCTGTTCTGATGCTTGTCCAACTTCTATATTATTTGCAGGATAACACACAGCATTCTTCAAATTCCGTTGATGATTCATAGATATTTTTCCACAAATTTCATAACAACCCTGTAAAGAAAGTAATAGATAATAAAAATGCATTTTCAATTTAGTATACCAGGTTATCAAAGCAATGTTATTAGATAGGTCGAAAAAATAAAGATATTTAAATTTGACGCAAGATATGCGCCGTGGGAACATCCTATTACTTACTTATTTCTACCTTTATACATCAACAACAATTTAATTTAAAATGTTATTTGGGTTTTGGTTTTAATGACATTGTTAACAAAATACATAAAACTGACTCATTGCTTACCACTCATATATCAGTGCAATTTAAGATTTGGATTATTGTTTATTCATGTATATATTTCAGGTTAAATTTAAAGGTACCGTACATCATGCCTTAGAAAAAGTTAAATATTTTCTTCTTCTATAGTGTTTAAATAATTGTTTAAGAGAATTTTAGATGCTTGTTTCCTGAAGAAAGTAGCAAAAAATGTGGAATAATTTGTCATAAAAGTAGCAAAATATATACAGAGTAGTAATTTGATTTTCATACAAAATACCAATTCATTATAGCTGTACTGATTACCAAAAAGGAAAAGATGAAAAAGATGGTTCAGGTAATTGGTCAATTAGTAACTTTTTGATTACTATAACTGTACACGAAAATTAAAAGCTTTTGATTAATAAAAAGTAAATAATGGCATTTCTGAGGCATACAGGGCCTTTAATACGCCTCTTACTACGATAATCTTCAACAAAAAATCTGTGTTTTCTTGATCTTTATCTCCCAATACTTCGTATGCATCTGTCCAGGAAATGTCATACAACTCTGGTATACTGTTCGGCTATTTTGGTTGGACGGTTAGGATCACTAAGATCTGCAATATTTGGGTTGTTGTCCGTCAGACGTGCTCCAGCGACCTTTGATAATCTAATAACAAATTTTATATTGTAAAGATAAAAAATAATTAGATCAACTACAATTTTATACATTTTACTTAAAAAAATTGTACATTAACAGTATAACAATATTATCAGCAAAAACCCGTTTTGACATAAGCTCCACAATGGAAATTTGAGGTTAAGTTCTCCTAGGTACGATGTTTGTGATATGGTAACATTTCTTATACATTGATGTTTGTTTTTATTAATTTGTCGTGCATTGAATATAATTTACCATATTATTGCATAATAATGAAATAAATCTATCAATCTTTTAAATATTGATAACGTTTGAAAGCATTGACTGAGTTGTAAAGCCAAACTTGTCAATCTTTATATCTGTTTCTTACTATTGTTCGAGTTCCGTTTGAAATTAACTCTTTTATTATTTTGCATTCATTATATACTTCGTCATTTTTTAACATTAATGCATAATCATTAACATTTATCATTGATTTTAAAAGGATTGTTATTTGTAAATTATATATTTAGTTTGCACAATTTCTTATTTCATTCATATAAAAATTAAGTCTTAATACGTATTTACATTGCAAAAGAAAGTACAGCTAAGCTTTGGCTTAGTATAAACATGCTTCTGAGAAACGTTATCATAATGCACATAGTATAAAGACATAAAAAAGGACAATGATACCTTATTATTTTTGTGTAAATTTTGTTTAATGTTTCTTTAGTTTTGTTTTATATTCATACTTTTTGTGACTAATAAATATTTTGGTAATGTCATGGGAATATTTATATCTTTCAATTTTACAATGTGCTGTGAGATGAAATATCGTATTGCCAACGTTAAGAAAAATCCATTTTATATTCTAACAGTTCTTACTTTGTGAAGTCTGAAACTGTGGAGATAATAAAATGTTAAAATGTTATTAATAGTTAAGTTGTTTGTATCTACCAGACCAGAAAGATATGCTCTGAATCGTGAGGATTGTAACCTTTCTTATACTAACTATGAAAATGTTAATTCTATAATATGAAACCAGTATCTGAAGAATAACCTACAAACATGGTGAGTAACTTATAAAAGTTATATATATGTCATCGCTTTCTTTGTTTTATTTTCTACATTGAATGCATTATAGAGAAATACTTAATGGTATTGAGTCAAAAGTGATATTACTTACTGTTAAGTAAATTTTATTTTACCTATTATATGCACTGTCTTTTTCTTCCCTTAACTGTCCCATTTCAACATGCAAATTCCTCATCTGTTCTCGTAAACTATCATTATCTTCTTTTCTGACAGATCTTAACTGAAAACTTTATACAAATTACAGTCTTTTAATTTTTTGTAAATGAATGAAATAACACAATTACTTTAATTTTTCCTGTATCATGTTACGAGCCAGGCGTAACGAGAAAGAAAAGCCAGCAACAAACATGTAACAATAACAAATTTATTACAGAAAAATTTTTAATGAAAAAGTAAAGAACAATTTATGCTTATAAACACCTGAAGTCCAAATAAAAATATAAATCTCAAATGTTTAGTCTGATCCCGGAATGATCCCTTTTTGAACAGCACAGTTAAAACCAAATTAAATCCAAGATCACTTTAGAAAAAAATCCCACAATAAAATCCACAAGAATAATTTAATCTATTAAAATCCACGCTCAAATAAATCTGGCACTTATTACTTAATATCCAAGTTGAATAATACTCCAAATGTATTGATGACTTAAAAGGTAACTTATGACTTAAAAGGTAACTGATGACTTAAAAGGTAACGAAAATGAAAAATATCCCCTAATATATACTAGCTAAGGTCATTCTAGATCAGTCTCTTATATTCTACAGTAATCATTAACTAGCACCTTCGATAATAAAGAATAATCTGGAAATTTCTATCAAAATATAATGCATGAATCATAATCTAGAATTTTCTACAACAATTAAAAAAATTCTTGTTAAATCTTATTTACACACATGTAGTTACATGTTCTAAAAATAGAAAAATAATAATAATATTGGATATACCAATTTGTCAGAGATAAACTATATACATGTAATTTGTTGCATGCATAACACTTCCCCACTTCAAGAAAAAGAAATATGAATGAAATGAATATTTCTTTTACATAAATCCGACAATGTAACTTAAGAAAAACTTAGAAGAAATGTTAAACAATTTTATATAAAATCATATATATGTTAATATAAACAATATCAAACGACAAGGTAAAATTAAACAATCAGATGATATAGATGCTAAATGTAAAATACTGAAAATGTAAGTTTTAGACACGAGAAAGTGCATCAGGGATCAAATTATCTTTCACTTTAATGTGTCTAATGTCAAGATTATATTCTTGCAAACACAAACTCCACCTCAACAGCCTAGATAAACTATATACATGTAAAATGTTGCATACATAACAATCAGGTAATGTTGATTTGAGTTATGATCACGTTGGTGATATTTGAATGTCGTCTTGTTTCATTTAATAAGTTATTCTATATCACTTAAACTGTTTTGTTGAGATCAAATTGAAGAAAGCTGAAACAGGTGATATGTAAAACAGTCTTTGTTGTAATACTAGTAAAAGTCATGAACATTTTAAAGGAAGTCATGCGTTTCTCTTAAATAAAAGAATCAAAAGACATGTTTCATTTTTTTAATCATGCAATTTATATCACAATAATTGACACCAAGGGAAATGAATGTTAAACCTGCACTTACTTTTCTACCGTTTTCTTGATCGCTTTGCATCTTTTTGAAACTGAACCATTTTTTCTCTCGATTTTTAACTCCTTTTCAAGCATTGTAAAAATCTCGACAACTGTGTTGGTCTCATCTTTGCAGCTGGAAATGTTTTAAAAACATTTGTATATTTTCCACAATAAATAACTTAATCGCATTTTTTTCTTTACCGTCGTGAATTTAATGAACAACCTAGAATCAAATTAGTATTGTTGATAAATTTTACTTAATTTCAATATCATATTTTTTTTTCTTTTTCAGAAATGCTAGTGGTGAAAGTAAACTTTTAATAACCCTATATTTGCCGCTTTGTTAATGTTTTGTTTTATATCTCCACGAAATAGCAAACATCTACGTCATAAGCCGCCGTGAATATCCATTATAACAATTCCAATTATTTTGTTATAGTCTGCTTTCATGTTTTGTTTATTTAACCGTTAGATTTAACCGGGATGTCGTTTTCGTTATGTATATTGCCATTTATGATCATGGTCTTTATTTGAAGTATGTTCTGTTAAACTACAATTAAGGCGAAATGACTTATTTTTG